TCCTATATAATAAAAGAATTTCCAGAGGTATTATCTGTTAAGGACCAGGTCACAGTAAATCTCTATTTCCCTGCCCAAGGCACTTCCCAGAACCCAGGCACCTTTCCACAGATGGGCCTGGAACCATAGAGATAACCCATGGCTTAACAATGAATGCTTCCTTAACACCTGCACTCCCTGGTGCAAACTCCTGCTCATCGCTTACCAAGCTTACCAATCATTTCCTGCTTCTGACAGCCCCCTGCTTCATTCCTCAGCACCTCCTGTCTAACAACCTCTTGCATTCCTCTGCCCATCCCATGCCACATCCCCCAATATAAGCTTGTACGAAATTCTCAACAAACGGAGCTTGATCAGCCAGTTTGTCTTGCTCCCATTCCTTGTGTCTCCTGTCTTCCCCCAGGATAGCCCATGTTAACTTGTCCCTGCAAGTTGGGGCAATTACCATAACTGATTTCAAGCTCTACTATAGAGATATTGTAATAACAGTTTGGTATTGGCATAAAAGCAGACACATGGATCAATGCAATCAAATTGAAGACCCTGACATTAATCCACACATCTATGAACGCCTGATTTTTGACAAAGAAGACAAAGCTGTACAATGGAAAAAAGAAAGCATCTTCAACAAATGGTTTTAGTGTAACTGGATGTTGGCATGTAGAAGAATTCAAATAGATCCATGTCTATCACCTTGCACATGTCCAAGTGGATCAAAGACCTCATCATAAATCCAGTTACATTGAATCTGATAGAAGAGAAAGTGGGAATTACCTTTGAACGCATTGGCACATGAGGCAATTTCCTGAACAGAACTCCAATAGCACAGATTGAGAAGCTTCTGTGGGCTGCAGAATGGGAAAAGATCTTCCCCAAACCCACATTTGACAGAGGGCTGATCTCTAAAATATATAAAGAAATCAAGAACTAGACATCAAAAACCCAAACAATCCAATTAAAAAATATAGAACAGATCTAAATAGAGAATTGTCACCAGAATAATCTCAAATGGTCAAGATACACTTAAAGAATTGTTCAACATTCTTAGCAATCAGGGAAATGCAAACCAAAACGACTCTGAGATTCCATTTTACACCTGTCAGAATGGCTAAGACCAAAAACACAAGTGAAAGCTCATGCTGGAGAGGATGTGGAGCAAAGGGAACACTCCTCCACTGTTGGTGGAAGTGCAAACTTTTACAGCTACTTTGGAAATCAGCATGGCAGATTCTCAGAAAATTGGGAATCAGTCTACATCAAGACCCAGCTATACTACTCTTGGGTATATACCCAAAGGATATTCAATCATACCACAAGGACACTTGCTCAATTATGTTTATACTAGCTTTATTCCTAATGCCCAGAACCTAGATGTCCCTCAACTGAAGGATGGATGAAGAAAATGTGGTACATTCACAATGGAGTATCACTTTAGTTGTTAAAAATGATGGCGGCATGAAATTTGAAGGCAAATGGAGGGAACTAGAAAAAAATCATTCCTAGTGAGGTAACCCAGACCCAGAAAGACAAGCATGGTATGTACTCACTTATAAATGAATATTAGTTCTAAAGTAAAGGATAACCATGGTATAATTCACAGACCCAGAGAGGCTAGGTAACAAGGAGGGTCAAGGGGGCACACTGAAATCTCCAAGTGGAGGGGACATAGAAGAAATTTCATGGGTGGGTTGGGGGCAGGTGGGGATGGAAACACGAGGAATCAAGAGACAACTGGAAAAGGGGGACATTTCCGGGTCTGGGAGAAACCTGGTCCAAGGGGAACCTCCAGGAATTTACAAGGGTTCCCAGGCTAAAAGACTCCTGGCATTCCTGGCATGCATCTATCTATCTATCTATCTATCTATCTATCTATCTATCTATCTATCTATCTATCTATCTATCTATCCATCTCCTGAATTGGTTACCTCCTATGACCAGGCAAGACTTATAGTGGAGGGATTAGAACACCGACCCAGCTGCATACCATTTGGCCTACAGTTTGTCCTGCTTATGGGATATGCTGGGGTAAGGGTGGATTACAGATGATCAGTCCAGCCTAAAACCCAGTCCAGGAGAGTAATTCCACCCCTGACACTGCCTGGAGCATCAGGACCCAGAAGCTCAATGGCCCAGAACTTACGATAGAGAGGCTTCATCCAGCAACTGATGGAAACAGATGCAGAGACTCATAGTCAAACATCAGGCTGAACTCAGGGAATGCTGCTGAAGAGAGGGAGGAAGGATTGTAGGAGCTGGGGGTATGGGGTAGGGTGGGGTGTGTGTCAAGGACATCACAAAAAAACCATAGAATCAACTGAATTGGGCTCATTGGGGCTCACAGTGGCTGAACAGACAACCAGGGAACCTGCATGGGACTAATCTAGGTCCTCTACATATATCTGACAGTTGTGTAGCTTGGTCCTCTTGTAGGAGTCCTAACAGCAGGAGCAGCGGCTGTCTCTGACTCTTTCACTGGCTTTTTTAGTATTCCTCATACTAGGTGGCCTTGCCCAGCCTTGATAAAAGGCAAGGTGCTTAGTCTTACTATAGCGTGATATGCCATATTTTGTCTAAACAAAAAGGGAGGAGTGAATGGGGGGTCAGAGAGGAGGTGGGGGGAGGGACTGAGAGGAGAAACTGCAGTAGGGATGTAAAATAAATAATAAAAAGAAATGTGGGCAGGAGGTGACTTTGTGCAGCACAAGTACATAACAGATGATTAGTTAATGGTAGAAATTGTAGCAAACAAAATTAATTTGGTCGACTGTCCTAGGTAGTTGAAAATTCCAAAGGTTCACATGGTTATTCTATTCATTGAGTTAAAAATTCTTTTGTACATCTACAGTCTTTTCAAATAACATATTTCACTCTGAATTCAATCAAATCATACATTTGGGTGTCAAGAATTTTTTAATGTCTATATAACTCAAACACACACACATCTATTTTTTTCTAAAAAATAACTTTTTTCATTTGTAGTGACAACATAAACAACTTGGTAATAATAAAAATCAGAATTAGAGATGTCTTAGAACAAGGGAGGGAGACAAAACATCCACTTGTAAAGCTAAAAGAAACCTCATATTCATTATATTTAGAAATTTTGTATCTCATGAAATAATAAGACAAAAATATTTGAGGAACAACTCACACATAAATAGCATTGAGACATTTTAAAGAAAAATAGCTACATTAGTAAATGTCTGTGGTGAATGGAAAGGATTGTGGTGGTGGTGTGTGCTGCAGTCTGATTATGAAAGTATACTCTGTTCTTGTCTCTTGATTTTTTTAAGATAGGGTCTCATATAGCCCAGGCTGGGCACAAACTTGGCATATAGCTGAGGATGGCCTTGAATTCTGGATCCTCTTGCATGTAGCCCCCAAGTGCTGCAGTTACAACATTTTGATACCATGCTCAATTGTGGTCTACATTATAACTACTCTATAGTACAGGATTTTCCAGAAAAGATAATCAATGGGACGGACTAAAGTACAGACAGACACCACATTTGTGCACACATACACACATGAGATGTCAAGGAACTGACTGAAGTAAATATGAGGCCTGAGATTTGTAGAGGTGATCAACAGGTAAGAACTCCTGGCAAGAGTTGATGTTGCATTTTTTACTCCAAATGAAGGTAATCTGGAAGCAGATGTCCTTCCTTGGCTACCTCTTAGCTAATACTTGAGGTTTTAAAGGAATTCAATGAGGAAATTTTGGTGGGACTATTACTTTAATTTTTTTTTTTTGGTATTTTTGAGACAGGGTTTCTCTGTGGCTTTGGAGGCTGTTCTGGAAAGGAGACCAGGCTGGTCTCCAACTCACAGAGATCTGCCTGCCTCTGCCTCCTGAGTGCTGGGATTGTGCCACCACCACCCGGCTAAATTTTAATCATATCTAAAGAAATACCCTCATACTAACATGTTGCCTGGCACGGGACCAAACAAATGGTCAATCTGAGACAGACCATCACAATTAGTGTATGGAGCTAGGAGACTTTTATCTGGTCTAAACTGGAATGCATAATTCAAACAGTTTGGGTAGGCATAATGGTGTGTGCCTGTAATTTCTGATCTTAGGAGGCTGACGTGGGAGGATTGCAAATTCTAGACCAGACTGAGTTACATAGTGAGAACCCTGGCTCAAGGAAAAGGAAAAGAAAGAACAGAAGCAAGGAAAAAAGATGAAATAAGGGTAAGAGTAGTTAAGCGAGGTGTTTAGGTATGGCAGCTGTTGCCTTGGAATTTAACTTTATTTAGCTTATTTAAGAAATAAGTGAAAATTTTCTCTTCATTTTACAGCTATCGTCAAAAAGAAGATATTTCAGGAGCCCCGAGCAGTTGAATCCAAGCTTCCCAAAGAGCAGCAGTCCTGATGACAGAGATGCTCCAGGGAGGAAGCCTGTGTAAAAATAACTCTAGCTCCCTGCTGGGGCCACAGTGGGGTGTTTAAGGGCCAAGCCAACTGTCAGGATGAATGGGCTGCTGTGGAATGCTATTTCTGGTTGTCAAGAAAGTTTGGCATTTTCTTCCAACATCCTGGTAACTCAGAGGGAACCTGCGATGATCTAAAGAATCCCACAGGAAATAAGCCATTCAAAATGTAACACAAAGCTGAGGTATAAAAAGGAATATTTGTATTTTAAAAATACATCTTTGACCACTACTCACATCTTATTTGCAAAGTATTTTCAGGAAATACTCTCATATGCTTACTGAGTGTAATCTATCACTTTCAACTGAACCCCAGGGGGGACATGCTTGTGTAATTAGAAGTACTGCCATCACCACCACAAAAGTATTAAAGACAATCTCTGCCTCAGGATAACAGCCTCAAATTATGCTCTTTTTTTCCTTCCAAGCAGGACTTCTTGAATGGTCTGGTTAAAGTTGGCGAGGTCATTTCAATGTTCAGATGGGCACAAGTGAACCAGAGGTATTCCCCCGTGAGTCAGCATACTGAGCGGAGCTGTTGTATGTGCAGAAAGCTTCACACACACTGTTCATTATTTATTCATTAGATCATGACGTTCAATACTCACATCAGTTCTTTACAACGAGTCAGCATGAAATAAACAGTATTTACAGCAGTACACAGTTTGCAATTCAACACCAACAGCAGGAAGAGAGGGACTAAGACCGTAAGAAGGCCAGAGGGAACTATTAAAATAAATCCCTTCTGCCAATATGTGCACACGTACCCACGCCTGACTGCATTTCGATTCATAGAAAACTAAACATGCCCTCTCTTAAAAGCAGACTATTTACAAGTAGTCCCGAAAAGCACAAACACAATTGTCACACTGGAGACTTTATGTGAATGCATCTAGATTTCTTGTTTTAAAATTCTGAAATACTTTTATCTATTAAAGAAAATAACGGTGGAACATTTGCTGACTTTTGGTTCATAGTACGTTTACAAAAAGCCACAGTTCATGCTGTTTTGTTTTAAAGGTGAACTGGTGAAGCACCTTGTAGAAGACACTGATGGATTACTCATTTACTGTTTACTGTGGATCAGAAAGACAGTGGCAGTTACAGAGAGTTCCTAACACTCTTCTCATTCCTTTTTATAAGTAGCAACATGTGACAAGAAATCTGGAAACACAAACCACGCACAAATCACCAAAACATTTCAGTTAACAGCGCTGAAAGAGTACAAGGTCTACAACAGTAGTACAGACACTGAAAACATTCCAAATACTCCTTAGCCTCAGGAATTTTTCAATTACTACGTATAAGGAAAGACAACCAATTGCCAGAAATTTACAGCACTTGAGGTTTGAGGCAATTTTCTTTTTAGGACCTGTAGCTTGAGGTGCTGTTCTTCTAGGATCCTTATTTTAACTCGAAATTTATTCAGGAATGAACTGAAAAATTGAAAACAATGTCCACTTGAAAACCACTGAGAATACAAAATCACATCCTAATCTTGTCCAGCACACATTTATTTTCAGGATCCCAAATTGCTAGGCAAAGAGATTCAGGTCAGCTTTAATCCCTCAAAACCACAGAATTTCCACCTCTTCTCTAGGCTGGCTCCAACTCCCGTCATTTCCTGTCTGAAGGTATGCTGGAGTCTACTCATGAGACATTCCACGTCACCAGTGCAGATCTGTGGAGCAGAGAAGACATCCTCCAATCAGAATTATATTTCCAAATCCTTGGCCATCTGCTGATGTGTGTATGTGCTGAGGGTGGTATCAGGGTAATCTATCAGGCCTTGTGAATTTGTGTGTGTTGCTAGAGTGGTTTTCAGACAACAGTGTTCATCTGCTGGGGCCACCAGACACAGTTCATTGAACTGCCCTTGCCAAGAGCTGGTGTCAGTTGTATGGAGACATTTGGGCATGGAGCTAACTGAACGAGGGCAGCTCAGTTGGGGATACATGTCCAGGTCAACCACCTGAAGCTACAAAGTCTTTTTGGAGAGGATAGAGGCAGAAACGCCTGTCAGTGGAGTATTTTCAGCCCACAAAGTAAGAGTAACAGGAGTGAAGAAAGCTCTCTCTTCCTACTTTGATGTCTCATTACTTTCTTTTCCCCAACACACACACACACACACACACACACACACACACACACACACACACACACACACACACACCCTTCATACAAAAGCAAGCCTGTGGACTCCTCAAGGGCTTCCCTTCTCACAGTCATTTTTTTTTTCATTCACAGCGACCGTCTTAATTTTGAGCCTGGACACAGGGCTTAGCTGATGACCACCGGGGGAAACCTTAGAGAAGCCTGGAGTTACAGCCACACAGAACTTAGGCACTCTTTAAAGCCCTCGCTGGGAGGTCTTGACACTATTCTGGCAGGGAGCTGCTAGCATGGAGCTAGGCCCAAACTAGGAGTGAAGTTGTGCCCTCCAGCCAATTCTTCTGATTAATTAGATCCACTTAAGTGAAAGAAGCACATTGTGTGCAGGGTACCATGGAGAGTAGATATGCCATTTTAAAACGTGCAAATAGATAATGGATATATATATATATATATATATACTTATAGATAGACATAGTGTAGGTATGGAAAAGGATCTGAAATTATAGCTAAACTCTTAACAGTGGTTATCCTTGAGTTGAGACTATAGTAAATTGTACTTTTTCTTTACTATCTTTCTATATCGTTTGCATTCTAAGACAACGTGCATTATTTTTAAAAATCAAAAAAATGAGAGAAGTTTTACTGACATTTAGTTCAATATTCTGCTGCTGAAACTGACCACATGGTCCTGATACTGCTGGTCCATCATCCCTTTAACTGCCACACAGAATAGAATTGCTTCCTAGAGGGAAATAAGGAGGTAATACAATCTAGAACTAACACAAAGGCCAGAGAGGAAAGTGAATCACTGAACTTAGAATATGCTTAGAGCAATTAGGTTCACAAATGGCCAGTGCCTTTGCTAAGATGACAAAGGCTTCTCTGATTTAACATTTTGGACAACATAATGTCAGGAGCCCACACTCAATGGCAATTCCCAAGAGGCCCAGTTTGGTGAAACAGTGACACATATCTATAGGGAAGCTTAACTAAATTCTGCTTAAAAAATGCTAATGTGAACTTATTTTTTCCAAGGAGTAGTTGAGAATCTGCCCCTGCTGCTATGAAGTATCCTTGACTTTCTAGGAATTAACACTTCCCCTAACTTCATGTGATCTGTGAGCTCCTGCCTTGAGGATAATATGTAGATAAACGGCTTACAGATCAGCTATGAGCAGCTACCCAGTCAGCATTCCAGAAGCCTTCAGCATATTGTTCCATCAGTTTTGAACCTTCCTTGACTGTTTCAGTGCAGACAATGGCAGTAGTGATGGTGGGAGGGGTAGCTGGAATAAGATTTCCAGTTTTATAAATCAAAATTTGTTGATGGATACAAGCCCAGGCCAAATGTCCAATGGGTAAGAGAGAAAGTAATAGTTAATTTGCTGGCTATTTAGTAGCTTTCATGGAAATCAAGAAAAGGAAGCTAGACTCTTCCAAGATGAAGCTCAGGGGTAGGCTAGTCAATTAATTCTAGTTTGCATGGAATTTCCTTCATTTTAGCACCAAAAGTCTCAAGTCTCAGGAAATTGCTCAGTTTTAGGCAAACAAGGGTAGAAAGTCATACCATTTCTAAAAGGAATGTTATACCGAATCACAATGAGACTTTAGAATTAAGGGAAACTTGCTTAGAGCCATGAGTAATATGGTCTGCTTATGCTTAAAGAGAGTAAGGCCACCTACACAGACAGAAGTCTTCATCCTTCTGTCTCCATTTGAGTTCCCACATACCTTATTATCAAGACGGTGTAAGTAGGAACAGATGTATTCAATGCTTGCTCCAAATGGGTGAACATGAAGGAATGTGGAGATGATCCCTGTGGAGACAATGCCCCAGAGGTTACATTTCAGCACGGAATTCCTTTTGATTCCTTAGTGAATGAACTCTTAGAAACAAAAAGTACATATGCACACTATACATGCACTAGGCAGTATTTTAAAGTTTGCTTATATTTTATTCATTTAATCTTTGTAAGAAGCCCGTGGCATAGGTATGGTCAAGCCCCGTTTTACAGATGAGAACACCAAGACAAAGTTTCAGCACATAGCTAACAAGTGGTAGAGCAGGTAAGTGAACTCAGCAGTTCTAACCACTCATTGCCTTTCACTGTGCTAAACCACACTAGTGAAACTGACATGTGAGGTCACTCCCATCACTTGTCATCACTGAGAACAATCTGAATATTAGAATTCAGATTATGATGGGTGTTTTGGCAATCATTAAATAAGACTTCATGCTATTAGGAATTAAGAATGTCTTATGGGAAGCACACATCACATACTTTGCCATATTAACCTAGCTCCTCTCACAGAAGAATCTGCTGATTATATGGGGCTTTCTTTTGGGAGTTGCTCTATAAAGAACACTTTGACATGAGTGGTCACTGCCAGTGTATATTGTAGGCCCCAAATGTGTTCCTATAGCAGAGTTCTCACAGCACTTTCCAGCTTTCAGCGATGCCCAGGACATTCCTCCTCAGTCTATCTAATTCTGGAGTAAGAGGTAGCTGCAACCACTGTCTTTATTCTAACGGATGCCATGCTCATTGCTCTAATACTTAACTGGCAACAATGAGAAAATTTTTTCAAAAACTATATAGATTCATTTTTAAATGTTTGTGAATTCATTTCCTTTTATCAGATCTTCCCGGATTGAGCTTCCTGAAAACTACCAGGAAATAGGAGTGGGCATTGATTTGGTTTAGAAAGTACAACATTTCTGTCCTTTCAGAGGCTGACAAAGAATTGCACAAGTTTAAATTATACCTTGAAATTCAATTATTTTTTATGAAAACCTTCCAAATATTAGATGGTGAAGGGTGGGCCGGGAGAATCTGGGAGGAATCAGGGTGAGTCACAAAAATCTGTTCAAAAGGGATGCTACTACTTTTTTCATTGCTTTATTCTTAAATGACCAGGTAAATTGAATTTCTAAGCTCTGATTTGAGTTGAAAAACTTCAGTTCTGAAGAAAAAAGTTCATATTCAAAGAAAGTCTAAATGTCATAGCTAAGGAAAAGTATCAAATGCTAAGAAATAAGTTCAGAGGTCTAAAAACACTAATCAGTTTTTGTGAATTCACACTCAAAGAACTTATTTTAAAAAGCAGACTTCTCCATCAGCTAAAGACTACATTCTTTTTTTTAAAGACTACATTCTTTAAAAAGCAAAACAAGAGATAGTCGTTTGAAGGAGTCTTTTTTTTCCTTTCAGACTATCCATTTACGGAGAAGTTCCTCTCTCCCCATGCTTCTCTGTTGCCATGACAATAGGTTAAAAACTTTTGAGTTGAAAAATGTCAAAAAGTTGCTGTGTTCTTTTTTTAAGTCTCAATGGCAGATTCCCCTGTGCACCTGCATTAACATATCAGAGCCTTAAATCAGGGTATAACATCCATTGCCAAAGAAGACAGATATCCCTTCAAAACATAGAGAAACCATGCAGCATAGATGGCTTTGGAGGGTGGGATACAGTTACCCTGTGGCTCAACATCGTAGAATGAAGCTTGGATTAACCAACCCCTGCTAGAGTACCAAATAATTTGAACCCAAATTTTCCATTAGCTCCCAAATGGAACATGAAGCCAACAAGCATTTGTGACTAGTACTGGAAGTGTAAGCTGCTTTCCTTGTAGTGAGGGTAGACTATTGTCCTGTGTGAAGTGACCTGGGATAGTTATGTTAATACTTGGGATCAACCTTTGAGGTAAGTCATAGCTTGCTCAATTTGCAGATGGAAGAGCTAAATCTCAGCAAACAGATACAGGCATCAAGATGGGCAGCTATGGCTGCCTAATTGTTTCACTGTACAACTTGGAAATTTTTTAGGTAGTAAGAGCAATTCTAGCACACCAGAGTCTAACACATTATTGACAGTTTCCTGAGTCAATTTGTCAATGTGAAATAATGACTAAAATTTTTTGTTTCAGTTTTTGGTACACAGACCCTTTAAAAAACTCATGTAATTACACGTTTACTTACTGTGTGTGTGCGCATGTGAGAGAGAGAGAGATCACATGCATTGTGGGTTGAGTCACAGTAAGTGGAAGCCATAGGCAACTTGCAAGAGTCTGTTTTCTCTTTCTATCATGTAAGTCCCTGGGATTAAATTCAGGTCGGAAAGCTTGGCAGAAGGTTCCTTGCTGGCCTCAGTGTAATTTCTTTTCTGAGAATGGCCTTGAATTTGAAATCCCCCCGACTCTGGTTTCTGAGTGCCGAAATTACAGGCATATGCTGCTAGTTTAGTTAGATGTCTACTTGTGACAGTAGAGGTGGCTGGGAGCCCTTTACTAGTTTCATGGTGGGAACTGACCAACACAACACTAAGGCTAAGACATATTAAGAGTAGGGAACTGTTAGGCTCCCTACCCCCAAACCACACTTATGTAACGAAACCTCCATAAAGACATGATGGAGATCAGAGAGCTTTCCAGATGGGGAACACAGAAAAATGCTGGGAAGGTAGCATAGCAAGCCCACAAAGTTCATCAAGCCTGACTCTTTTCCTCTTAGTTTCTTGCTGTATCTCTTCCAACTCTCCATTCCTGGGTTTCACCCCCTACACCAGTGGTTTTCACCCTTCCTAATACGGTGACCCTTTAATACAGTTCCTCATGTTGTGGTGACCCCAAGTATAAATCATTTCTTTTGCTACTTCATAACTTTAATTTTGCTACTGTTACAAATCATAATGTAAATGTCTGTGTTGTCTGATTCGACCCCCAAAGGGGTTGTGGCCAACAGGTTGAGAACTGCTGTTCTCCAATACGCTGGCAATAGTCAAGGCAAGTACTCAGAGTTCTTTGAGTTGTTCTAACAAGTTACAGAAGCTGGTTGGTGGAGTACTGGGATGTTCCTGACTTTATAGTCAGACAGGACTGAGTGTGGAACTTGGTGTTATAGTCTGGATCTAGAGCGATATCCAAAGACTCATGTGATAAAGGATAAGTCCCCGTTCTGTGGACAGTTTTGAAAGCATGCCATTTGAAAGGGTTGTGGGTTCTTAGCCTCTCTCTTGTCTGTCATTTGTCGAAGCCATGAGGTAAATGATTTTCTCAAGTGTTTCGATTATGATGTGCTGCCTTATTTCAGAACCCAAAGCACCCAACCAATCATGGAGTGAAACTCTAAAATTGTCCACCCGAATAAGCCTTTTCTTTTTATAAACGAAAGTTGACTAACACATTTTGGGATCTGATGTTTGAGCCTGGTATCTAAAGTGAGGGCTGATTTGGGAGACTGACTCTTTAAACCTGTGGAATGTAACTTCAGCTAGTTGGTATCAGAATTGAATTGAATAAAGCAGTCAGATATGTACTTGGTGTTGCAGAGTTGGAAAAGCAGTATTGGAAAGAACCTACATTGTATCCCCTTATTTGGTGTCAGAAGTGTCATGAATAAAAAAGGCTCAGTCAATAGCACAGAACTCAAAAGGCACATACTTGCTACAGAGGCTCATCTGGGAAAACTTTTTTCCAGCAATGTCTGTACTAGCCTTCTGAATGAATGAGAAAGGGCCTTCTCTCCTTGTAGAGAGATTAAAGCACACAATGTGCTTATCCAGTTTGACCACTCTTAGAACATGACAATGGTAACAAGGATCCGGAAGTGCTTGGGAGCTGTTCTTAAATTTTTTTGCGGAAATTATTTTCTTTCATCTTTCCCTAACACCTTTAGAACTCTGAGTTCTTGACCATCATATTCATACTGCTTAACAGACACTTTAATCTCAAAAGACCCCTCCTGTCTTTCTCTGTACCTCATGGGTTTTGTGTGTGTGTTGACTTCCTTACCCACTAGCAGCGCTTCACGCTCAGATTTGATAGGACTGCTGGTCATGGTCTTCTCAAGAGGGTACTCACTTTCCTGGCTTGATGCACACAGTCTAGAAGCACAGTTTTCCTGCGGGAATAACATGTTTCCTGTGTCAGTTTACCTTATTTGGCCAAAGAGTTGGTTTCAATTAATTGCACAACAGGCAACTTTCATTAAAGATGAGAGATACTTTGTCACTATGTTGCCCAGTCTGTAACTCCCAGATACAAGAGATCCTTCTACCTTAGCTTTCTGAGTATCTGGGATGACAGGTGTATCCCACTGTGCCCAGTAATACATCCACAGAAACAACACAGTACCATCAATACAACATAGTTCAATTTGGATTACTGAAAATCCAAATTATAGAAACACCACAGATAATTCAAACTACCCTTGGCGCACGCGCGCGCGTGTGTGTGTGTGTGTGTGTGTGTGTGTGTGTGTGTGATGGTACAGTTGTGAAGGTCAAAGGACAGCTTGCTGCAATTGGTTCTTTCCTTTTGCCATGTGGGTCCTGGGAATTGAACTCAATTCTTCAGGCTTGGCAGCAAGTACCATTACCAGCTGAGCCATCTCAGTAATTCCAAAGCAGCTTTGTATGACTTCAAAATGCAGAAAAATATAAACATTTAATTCCACCAGTTGTGTTTTCCTGGACTCATCATTCTTAGCTCTATACAAATAATCTTGGGAAGGAGACTCAACACTTTTGTGTATTACATACTAGATATTATTAAACATGTATTATCTCCATCATACAGATGAGGAAAGGATAAATTGGGTAAGTTTCCTGTGATTGCATTGTTAGGAAATGGAAATAGGAGAGTTAGCATTTCACCTCAGGCTATATTCATAACAACCCCCTGCCAACATTAGATCCATACTCCATGTATGGTAAGTCCCACATCTGCAAAGAAAACCTGGGAAGTACCCAATCTACTGAGGTATCAATGCTGACTTTTGGACTAGAAATTAGAACATTTACCCATAGAGTAGAGACTGTCTGTTTCACTTCTCTGTTAATCAGTTAAAATAGTTTTGGCTTTACAGTCAGAAATGACCATAAATAAAAGTATCAATTGTCAGTTGCCTTCTTTGTTGTGGAGACTTTTTCTGAGTGTAGCAGTTTGGCTTTATGAGATATTCAGGTGAAATCCATGCCTGGAAGTCACTGAATCTGAAAAGTGCTCCTATACTGTTTGTGGATCTTTCTATCTTTGGGTGTGGGGAAAAATACCTTTCTATATTGTATAGATGAAGTAAGAGCTTCCAGAGGAAGGAAGAAAAGAAATGTCTGCATCAATCTCCCTGTTCCAGTCTTTCACTGTTGTGAAAGGAAGCGCTGGGGGAGTGCAGGGCAGGGGGTGGGGGCAGATCATGGTTGATTCAGACACTCTGTTACTCCTTCCCCTCCCTAGCTCTCAGCAGGGGCTGCACTTCAGTGAGCTTTAAAGGCATCTTCAAAGCTTCAGCCTTGGGATGAAGTGAATGATCTGCATATGCTGCAAGAGATCAGTTTTGTGCCACAACTGACTTAAAGCACCCGCTGATTTCTAAGGCAGGGGCTCTGCATCTGCTTCTAAGTCACTTCTAACCTTAAGTGGGCCAGTAAGCCATATATTAAGTGTGGGCACTTAATGGATTGAGTTTGACTTAAGATATTAAGATTTTCTGAGAAGACTTAGCCATCTTGAATGGCTAAATTCAGTTCCTCAACTGGACTTGATTCCAAATTTATCGTGGCTGGCATTTAACAAATTATAAGGAATATTCAGAGATGTTTATTTGAGCTTCACTAGCAGATTCAAGGAGGTAGTTCTTCCCACCAGTAAAATAGCCGTAAGTCACACTGTTATATTGGAAAACACTGCCAATGGCATAGCTCCTACTGTGCCTTACTGCCAAGAAATTCAAAGAAAAGCAACAGAGTCCTCATAACCAAAACTTACTGCTTGTCGTTCAAGCTGAAATTATTTTGTAGTCTAATGTGATAGTCTTTTGCTCCCTAACCTAATTGTTTCAGGTTGAAATGTTTGGTCACAAATCAGCTCCACAGAGAACAGCAGCTTGTAATGATCTGTCATGAATTCTTCTAAAAGAAGCTCTGCTTGAAACAACAGGAAAAAAATCTGACCCACTGTTTCCTGATTATCAGCTGACTCTCTTGTCTTCTTTAGCTGTCATTTGTTGTATATTGTACCCGAGATGAGAAACACTTGTTATTAAGCACAATATGACAAGTTTCTTCTATGCCAACTGACCTCTTGTTTCTTTAAACAAAATTCTCCACAAAGCAGAAAGCAGCCTACCCTAAAAATGTGCTTAATTCAATTTTATAAAGGCAGTCTGAAGAGTGATGGTTAGTGTGATAGCAGCGATATAGGCCCTTGTCTATCTAGGGTCTTCTGGCTCCACGATGCATTTTATACAGAAAGAGAAATAGAGCTATGTTGCAGCTCTGGGACCATTTAGAAAGTCTGATAGCATGAGGAGAGTCCTGATAGTGCAGCTGCTTTGGCACTTTTCAATTAAATGCTTGATAAATGAATTTCTCTGGGATTGTGCTCATTTCTTTAATAGCACCCACAAAAGTGGAAAGTGAGTTGATTTTATGATGCAGAAGAATTAAAAGCATATTGCAAATGGCCTCCGAAAGAAAACATTTTCAATCATTTGTTTCAACTACACCAAGGTTGCCAGTTCCTAATGGCTCTCTGGGGCACATCCCCATGCTGGTAAACACACCCAGAGCCTATATGTGCTCCATCGCCCTGAGCTAAGCAAGGAAGATCATCAGCAGAGCTCTTGTAGAACTGTACCATTGCTGATGTTGGACTTTTGGTCCAAGCCCCTATGTGTTCTCTTCCTTCTCGAATATTCACAGCAGGCAGTTCTGGTGAGTAATTCATTTTTTTCCTAGAGTACAACTTCAGCTCAGTACTGAGGCATGTGAGACTGGAGAGGTAGGACACACAGACCTCTCGAGAATTTACACATCAAAAAGAAACACACCTGACTCTCAGTTGTGATGGGCAGATGAATCCAAATGCTAAACTGAGTCTCCTAGGTATCTTCACTGTGTTCATTTCTGCAGCAGGCTCTCTCTTGATTAAGTTTCACCTTTCCTTCTTTGTTGCTATTATCTGGTTTTACAAAACTGTCTCCTTGTTTCTTTACAAGGGTTTCCCTATTTTGTTGTTTCTCCATTTTGGCTGTTTTGTTTGTTTGAGACAGGGTCTCATGTACCCCAGGCTGGCTCCTAACTTAGTATGTGGGTGAGGATGACATTGAACTCCTGACTCCCTGCCTCCATTTCTTAAGCTTTGGGTTCAGGTGTGTATCACCATGCCTGAGTTGGTGTTGGCTGTTACTCTGCCCTGTGGCTGCTCATGACTGCTTAGAGTGGGGATAAAGAAGTGTCAATGTTCTACGCACATTTCTGCTTGAGTGAAAAGTTCAGTTAAATGTGTGCTCATCTGGGAAGATGGGACTTCACACTGGGAACTGCCTCTATCAGATTTTCCTGTAGGAAAATTTGTAGAGCACTTTTTCCTGATTAATGATTGAAGTGAGAGGAGCCAGCCCACTGCCTGGTGGTGCCACCTTTGGGCAGGTGGTCCTGGCGTTGTGTAGAAGGCAAACTGAGTGAGCCATGGGGAGTAAGGCAGTAAGCAACATTTCCCTATGGTTACCTAACCCTAACCCTTTAGAAATGCTAAGTACTTAAAAGCAGAGAGTTTGATACAAGAATCACCACAGAGGGGGACTTTTGATTCCCAACCAGTGGTATTTGCAGAAACTTCTAGGGCGTTTTCACTATCACTGGTGGTGGGGATGTGGGGGAGGGAAAGACTTACATACCTTATCTTGAAGATTTTCCAACATTTTTTCCACCTGTAACTTGTCATCTTTGATTTTTTCAAGTTCAGCTTCTTTCTTTTTGTACTCGTCTTGGACTTTGAGCAGATGCTTCATGAAAGAGTACAGATAATGACACCACTCACTTAGGCTACACTTCATGCACAATTCCCTGGCTGAGGTGAGGTATCAGGTAGACTAGCCTCACTTCTCCCTCTACAAGTAGTGGTTTTCCCACAAAAAGAATCTTGGGAAAATTAAGATACTTTTGTCTCCTTAAAAATCTGGTTCTTACAGCTGACCTGAACAAGTGGGAGCTCTTGGATCCCAGATGATTCGGAGACAGCATGGGACTGACCCAGGCCCCCTGAATGTGGGAGTCAGTGAGGAGGCCGAAGCAACCTATGGGTCCTTGGGTAGTGTTTGTCCCTGGCATACAGGTGGACTTAATTGCTGGGCAGTGGTGGCACACACCTTTAATCCCAGAACTTGGGAGGCAGAAGCAGGTGGATCTCTGTGAGTTCAAGACCAGCCTGGTTTATAAAGTGAGTTCCAGGATATCCAGGACTGTTACACAGAGAAACCCTGTCTCGAAGAACCAATAAATAAATATCAAAAACCTAAAAAAATCTGGTTCTTTGGCTTTTTGGAGCCCACTCCCTATGGGGGGATACCTTGCTTAGCCTTGATGGGGGTGAGGCTTGGTCCTGCCTCAACTTGGTATGCCAGACTTTGTTGACTCTCCAAGGGAGACCTGACCCCCTCTGAGGAGTGGATGGGGGTGGTAGTATGGAGGGAGGTAGGAAGATGGGGGAAAGGGGAGGAAAGGGGAACTGGGGTCGGTATGCAAATGGAAAAAATTTAAATAAAAAATTACACTAAAAATCTGGTTCTTATATATTTCTTCTGAACTTGTTTATATTTTATAAAGGACCAGAGAAACTAATAAACATAATCAGTTAGCTTCTTTCCTGCCATAGTGTAGCATGCAGTTAATACGGTACAAACTGTATCTTAATTATTGCGGAGGCATGAACTTAAGTTGAAAAACACTTTTGTGAAGTCATCTGGCATACCATTTGGTTTGTGTAGGTAAGATAGTCATGAATCCAAATTTCACATATGTTAGTTTTCAAGGAACTGGATTTACTGTTATCAGTGATGGCAACACACACTATTTACTGAATCTTTACTATGTACTAAGCATTGTGCTAGGGGGCTCATGTACATTAATTCATGTGACCTTTCCGAAGGCCGTTTAGATAGGAAGCAGCAGAGTTAGATCTAAAACCAGGCCAGGTAACCCTGACATTCCTTTGCCTAAATCCATATTTACAATAAACCTTTTGAGATTAAAATGGGAAAATGTTGTTCATCGGTTATAGTACTATTTTCCCAATGGAAAAAAATCAAAATGAATGAAATTAGTTTTTATGATGTAGAGACCTCTTGCTGAGAACTTTGCATATAAGTGACAGAATTGTTCTTACAAGTCATGGTTTCAAAAGCAATGCAAGAAGAGAGAAACAATGGTAAAAATGTTTACAAGGTCTTATTTTCAGACTTGTAAAAAACCATCAGTTAAAAACTAGGTACAGTGTATGTTGTCAAAGCCTTTTGAAGGGTAGCTACAGGGACAGGTTTTTTTTTGTAGAAAGATCTCTGATATAATTTATGTATTCTAATTAAACTCTGTGAAGACAATAAAAGGAAGGTAAGCATTACTTCACATGTTTTGCTAATGGGAAAGGTGAAATATTAATGTGATAATACTTGTCACTTATCAAGACGATGGTGACAGAAGTAATAACACAGGGATGCTCGTGCCAGAATAGACTCCCTGTTCATCATTTATAATTTCCAACCAGCAATTAGTTTGCCCTAGATAATTTCAAGGCACAGAGTTGATATGTACTGTGCAATTTCAAATATAAGGAAAGTGGTTGGTAGACTGCCATGACAGAATATGATCATATCCTTTTTCAGAAGCACTAGTCCTTCTCTGTAGTGAAACGAGGTGTTGATAACTTTTAAAACGGGGTCTTACTGTGGTGATGGCCACATCAAGCTTCTAGACATTGAGCACCTGTTATTATTCATGAGGTTTCATTTGAAGGCAGTTTTCATTGGATTTAATTCTTTCTTTTTCTTTTTGTTCAAGTGAATTCTTTTTATTTATTTGTTTGTTTACATCCAGACTGCCATTTTATTTTTTATTACACACACACACCCATGGAGGCCCAAGGAGATCATCAGATACCATGAAGCTGAAGGTAAAGGTGGTTGGTAGTTATCCAATGTGAGTGCTGGGAACCAAATGCCAGTCCTCTGCAAGAGCAGCAAGTGCTCTTAATCATGGAGTCATGTCTCTAGCCCTCTCATTAATTTTTATACTTGGAATCATGCGCTTGTAAACTCATATAAATTACTGTGAAATAAGATAAAAATCCAAACTGGTATTACCATCCCAAAGCATTGACACTTACTACAGGGTCCCCATTTCCATGGAAATCAAGGGTGAGGTGCTTGTTGTTTCTTCTAAAAGACTAACTACATTTTGTTGTTTGAATACTTACTGATTGGCATTGTATCATATGTAAGTAATTGAGGTTTCTCCATAAAGACCCCTAGCAATATCTATAGCCCAAAGTAACTTCTGATCTTTTGGTTTCAGCACATCTTTTTGCAAATGAAGAGCAGATGCCATCCTTCCAAATGGCACAGAGAAACAAATCGCACGTACCTGTTGCATCCCCTGCAGGGCTTGCTGCAGAAGCTTCAGCTGCTCTTCCTTGTTTGGGTCATCTTCCCGGTGGGCTTTGCCTTGTTCTTGCTTGAGCAGTTCTACCTCATTCCGGTAGGCATCGAGCTGCCAACGGAGGCTGTCATTTTCCTCCTTCAGAGCTTCTGCCTGTGATACTAAGGCTAAACAGTCAATGAAAAACGTTAAACCTTATGTCGAGGCGTTTTTTGTGGTACACCCCAGTACTATGAAAACTTGGTACTTTGAATCAACGTGTAGAAAAAGCAGCTTGATAAGGAATTTGCAATCAGTTTTAGTTGTTCATTATAGTAAAAGATGGACACAAAAAACAGAAAGTCTTGCTTTCATAAATGAAACAGGATTTCAATACACAAGTATCTTCACTGTGGTTCACATTCTCCAAATGAAGTGTAACTATTTGCAACTACCACCCAATACTTTCATTGAAATGGAGCAAGTGATAAGAGCACTGTGATGACCAAATATAGCAAATAAAGGACAGATAACTGCCTACACAAAAATTTTGTTAAAAGATATATATATGTATATATATATTAAAATTGCATTCACTAATATCATAGAATAAAAGTAATTTCATGATGTAAGATAACATTTCCACTTTCTGTATATGAAAACATTTCCCTTCCATGTTGACAGTAAGTAGGAAGCTGAATAAACGGAAAACCAAAAAAACTCTGTTTCTTTGACACAGGATCTTTCTTCATAGCCTTGGCTGGCCTAGAACTTGCTATGTAGACCAGCCTGGCCTGTAGCCTTGGCAAGCTTGGAGCTTTCTGTGTAGAGCAGGCTGGCCTTGAACTCACAGAGAGTGGCCTGACTCTGCTTCCCAAGTGCTGGGATTAAAAGTGTGCGCCACCAAGCTGGTCTTAACAACTCTTTTTATTGTCTTCAGAGAGCTGAGATTATTCAGCAAACAACTCGAGAACCTAGAGACAGACAGAGACAGTGAATATAAATCACAGTTTACAGAGCCAGAAACTTATGAGCAAAAACCCTCATGGGAATCAATACTAGGGTAGAGAAACAAACTGAATTATTGGAGGCTCAGTGTGGACAAGCCTGTGAGTTCAAAACTCACAAAGTGTGTGCTGTGTACAAGTTTGCAAGTTTCACCTCTAGGAGCTCTACTAGGTCCTCTCAGTGAGTATCAGAGAAAAACCACTTTCTGCTTCACAGAGGGAGAGGAATGCCTTTGAAGTCTGAAATGCCAGAACATTCTATTCTTAACAACAGCTACCCCCAGGAAAATCTATTTCATTAGAACCTTTTGGAGTTTTAAAAGAGCATTAGTGAACTGAAGAAGTAGAGGTACTTAACTCTAGATCAGCAGGTTCCCCAACCTGTGGGTCGCATATCAGATATCCTATATATCAAATATTTATACTATAATTCATGGCAGTAGTAAAATTAAGTTACAATGTAGCAATGAGAATAATTTGATGGTGTGGTGGGGAGGTCACCATAGCATAAGGAACTGTGTTAAAGGATCACAGCATTAGGAAGGTTCAGAAGCACTGATCTAGACCCTTCCAGACATCTTGTTCCAGCTAAGGGCATAGAAACAAATTTGAGAAGCAGTGGTGAAGTCCACTGTCCATGGACACAGGGTCATCAAGAGACTGAGACTTAGGGTGAGATGTCATTTCAGATGGTAGAGTGCTTACCTAGCATTCAAGAAGCCCTGGGTTCAATCCCAGTGCCACATAAAACTTGGTATTTAATACCACCACCCGAGAGGTAGAGGTAGGGGGATTAGAGCTTCGAGGTGATCCATAGCCAGGTCTACGTAAGACTCTGTCTAAAAAAAAAAAGTAAGACTTAATCATAGAACTGGTGAATGTATCCGTCTCCTTGTCTTCTCTACACAAATTAAGGTCCATTTGCTAGAGTTTAATATACCCAAATAGTAGTGTCTCATATTTAACAAAAATTTATAAGCACTAGTAAATTGTAAAGACCAGTTTGAGAACACAAAGACCCATTAAAACTGACTTATGTATGGCAAGGATGTTGGTGAAAATAGGCAAAAGAGAGGAACACAAGAATAATAAAAGTAGAATTGGAAAACCTAAGGAAGAGTAGAAAAAACTATTAATCAAAAGCACCATAACAGGCAGAAGACCACTGATAGGCCATTAGTAGTTTCACAAGGCTGAGGAAAGAATTTCTGAGATTGAAGATATAAAAACAGAAGGCTGTAACTGAAAACAAGGCTTAGTCCATCCAGGATGGTATTATAAAAACACTAAAGACTGCATAGCTTATGCTCAATGGAAATAGATTTTTTTTAACAGTTTTGGAAGCTGGGCAATGCAAGATCAAAGCACCAGATCTTCAGTGTTTGGTGAGTGCCTACTTCTGGTTTCATGAATAGCATCTTTAATATTCTCACCCCAGAAAGGGAAAGGGCACATCTCTGGGGCCTCTTCCATAAGGGTACTAAATGCTAAGCACCTCCTGAAAGCTCCACTACCTAAGTGGTGGATAGGTTTCATAATATGAATTTTGGGCCATATAAATATTTGGGCAACAACATAAGCAGGGAGAAAAAATGAATAGAAGAAAAATAATAGGATATTCAGCAAAAAAGTATAAGCATGCATTATGACAATGCTAAAAGAGAAGAAAACAAGCAACATTTGAAACAATCATGACTAAACATTTCCCAAAACTTGTGCCATACACAAAACTACGAACAGATTCCCGAAGTTCATAAAGCATTAAAGATAAATGCCCTCAAATCTAATCAAGGTTCAGCAAATCAAAATAAAGAAAAAAGTCTTTAAATAGGCCAGAACAAAACCAATACCTTACTTATAGAGGAGGAAATAGAAATATTACATAGGATTTCTCAGAACTATACAAAGCAAGAAAATGAAGGAAAAATATTTTAGCAAAAAAAAGTTACCAATGTATAGTTTTGTGCCCTGTGAAATTATGTTCAAATGGAACTAAGAAGAAATAAGTATTTCTTCCTCTGAATAAAAACTCAGGGGAGTTTTGACAGTAAGCCTGCCCTGCAAGAAATACTACAGAAGCTGTTCAGAGTAACAAAAATGATATGTAGTTTAGAAATTCAGGTCTACACAAAGAAAAGTAGAGCATAAAAGATGAGTAAGTGATGGTAAAACAAAAACTTTATTTTTTTTATTAAGTGATCTAGAGTAAAACGTCCAAAATTTCAGCAGTAAGAATGCACGCACTCATGAATGCTTCTGTACATGTGCAATGAATGAAAGCAATGATGCATGGCATGAGAGACACTTCTAGAACCATATAGAAAAAAGTATAACTGAAATTCTGAGGGAAGAGAAAAAATAATAGAAAATGCTTAAAACCACACAAAGAAGAAAAAGTATGGAGGACAAATTAGGAGAGAACAAGGACAATTCAAAGAAACTGCAGCAAATACGGTAGGATTTACCCAGTCTGACCAACAATCACTCTAAATGTCATTGCTCTAAACATATCAGTCGAAAGACAGATTGTCACTACAGTGGATCAAAAAAGTCCCTAGCCATGTATGAGTGCACACGTCTGTATTGTCAAGACTAATGAGGCTACTGAAGGAGGATGGTTTCAAGTTTGAGGTCAGTCTGGTCTACATAGTAATTTATTTTTAATGAGCAGTTCATTCCCCAAATTTAATTAACAAAGCAAGCACTTTATAGAATATTTTCTGTGAATTCACATTGTATCTAGCACTTGGCCTTATTCAACTCCACACTGTGAAATAAATAAAAAAAACATAGAATACATTTAACTAAAGTGAATGGTGTGTTTATTGTGCCTACAGGCCATTTGTGGTTGAAGTGTAATCACCAGAAGTATTAGCCCCACAATGTACTCATATATATTAACTGTGATACATAGTAAGTTTGGAGCCAGCCAATATGAGTCATTGTTTTTGAAAAATCAAAGCAACAACAATAAGTAAACAAAACTAACCCCCACCATATGAAGACTCAACTATATGAGTCATAAGAAATATACTTTAAATGTAAAGCCTACATAGATAACAAGTAAAGAGAAGATAACACCATTTTAAAAGTAATTAAAAATGGAAGTAGCTACATGAATTTAACAAGTCAACGCCAGAGCAAGGAAAGTTATTACGAATTAGGACAGGATCCTTGTTAAAAGGGCCTGCACTTAAGAAGGCATCATTCCCTTTAATGTGTAATATGCTAACAGCGGAGTTTCAAATTATGTGACACACCAGTTGAGGGAACTGTAAAGAGAAACAGAAGAATCTACTAACTCCCCTCTGTAAGATGTGGATGAGGTCAGAAAGCAGAAAATCTGGAAGGGCATAGTTGAACTCAACACCTCTGTCAATCTAGATACAATTGCCATCTGCAGAGTATTTCATTCAACAAGAACACATTACAAATTACAAACTCATGTGGAAGTGTCACTAAAAGAGACCTCATTCTAGGCCATGAGTTAGACCTTAATGTCAAAATGGAAATTATACAGTGAGTGTTCTTAGACAGCAATGGACTTTAACAAAAAAACCCTCTACAATGAAGATAGCAGAACATCCCTCAACACTGGAGGGAACCACTTACTTTTAAATAATACATGGGCCAAAGAAGAAATTTCAGTGCTTCCAACTAAATTAAAATGAAAACACAATTTATTTAAATCTGTGGGGTGTGGCAAAATGGTGCTTAGAGGTAAATTTGTAGGAAGAAATGCTTATATTGGAAATGAAGAAAGATCTACAATCAAGTATGAAACTTGTTATCTTAGGAAACTAGAGAAAGAAGAATAAATTAAACAAATTAAATATTAGTTTGTTAACAGTTGGAAGTTTCCTAAAAAATTAAATATATACTTTTCACAAAACTGAGCAGTTGTGCTTCTTGTTATTTATCTAAATGAATTGAAATTTAACACCCTTCCCCTAATCCTGTGTTTGCATATTTATAGTCCCTTTGCCCATAATTGCTCAAACTTGGAAGCACCACAGATTTCCTTTAGTGTGTTAATGGATAAATAAATTGTGATATATTCAGGAAATGCAATATTATTTACTGGTAAAAAGAAATGAGTCCTCAGACCAAGAAAAGTCACAAAGGAAACAAAGGCATGATACTAAGTGAAAGAAGCCAATTTGAAAATGTTCCACACTAGC